AGCTATTTTTGTAATTGATAACTAGTTGTGTTTGTCAATAAACGATGGGGGCCGGGGAGCTGTACCTAATGCAAATCGCGGTTATCTCCCTGGTCCTCGATAATACTAAAAAAAAAGGTGTAGTGTGTTTGTCGAGGTAAAGCTGATGAGTGATGAGTGATGACTAATATCTCTATGTGGTAAATATTAGTGGTAAGATTACTGGTTTAAAAATAATTATATTTTTGTACACTAAAATATATAATAATGCTGTCTATGATCGCTACAACTGAGTGTTATTTTTTTTATTAATAATCCTGTAAATTTGTAAATAGTCTTGTTAGATACTATTATACATAAAATTATACATATATTATACAACTATTATACATAAATAAACTATACAAATTCCATTACCTATCTTATATCTACTATTTCTTCAAAATGTCTTTCCAAGGTTATTGGTAGATATTCTTGCACTCACAGAAATTATTTAGAAAATTGAAAAAATACTTGTTAATATACCTACTTTTAGCTTTCAATTGATACTGGGCCCCAATGTCATACCACATGGCCCCAGCATCTCACAGGACGCACTGGTGTTTTCAAATTACCTTCACCGTATGGGCAGGGCCGTCAGCCCTCGATTCAATCACTACCCTTAAACGTCGGACGCCCCGAGGCCATCACAGATCGGGCATAGGGCCTAGGGGCAGACTTGGTGGCACACTTCGGTTACCCCCCCCCCAGGCCCTAACATCATGTGTGGGCCTGTCTTTGAAGAGATTCAGGTCAATAACCTGGAGAGAGCTGAGTTACTCAAGGAAGCCGATGAGAAGTTCAGGATCTTCTATAAAATGGTAGAGGAGATCCTGACTCTCAAGGAGGAGGAAGAACGTGTGCGTCAGGCAGCTGAGGCAGCTTTTGTGTAGTCAGTAATTAATAATTACTTAACCTTCACTCAGAATCTAAAAAATAAAATAGTCAAAAAGGAACACAAAATGTATCCATATTGGTAGGTACAGCATCAATACTATGTTTATTATTTTATTACTATATTTGCATGTAAATGTAAATTGTTATAAATTATAATATAATAGTATAATACCAACTTTATATCACAATTCACTAGGTATATACCTACCTTTTGATAATAAGAGTTACATATAGGTATTATAATATATATATTATATATATAAAATATATATTTATATATATATATATATAATATACTGTATAGGAGGTACCTAATACCTATAAATTATTATAATAATATTATTATTTATTCATTAAAATAAAGTATTATTTCATATTATTATAAATGTATTATAATTATTGTATAAGTTATTAGTTTATTATTTTACTACCTACCTCGCTACCTATTATAAAGTCATTAATCCAAAAACTACATATATATAGTCTAGTAGCAAGTTTATAAAAGATTAAAGCTAGAAAGTAATTCACCTTGGTATATTTTTATCATTGTACATTTGTACAGGAGCTAATTAATATTTCCATTCTATATTTCTATATTATAATATTCAGATACCTATTTTAAAATAACTCTTGAATAGTTAGGAAATTAGGTGTATATTGTACACGTGTGTGTTGTTTTATAAGGCGATAGATTTTACAGGTTCTTATACCTACATTAGTATAATCGTATAGGTATAATTTTACCAATCATATTTTTGGCGCTATAACTTATAGTGTATCCGCCGTATACAAATACATATTATTGAATATATTGTATTTATATTATATATTTATAACACTATTGGAGTTCGGTATAATAATAAATTAATAAGCAATATTAAGAGAACACATGCGTACGAGCTGTGTGGTTGACGGTTGTGTTCCTAACTTCCTAGTAAATTATCATTATTCATTACTTTATTATTATTATTTATTTATGTGTGCAAATCTAGGTATATACTATATAGAGTATATTAGATCATAATGACATAATGTAGATATAACTTCCACACGCACACACGCAAGCACATTTGAAAGAGATTTAAAAACAGATTTGAATTTGTCAACAACTTTACTATAATATATATAGCAATATAGTAAATAATACATTCACCTTCACTTTTTATGAATTATTTTCTTTGGGTAAGGCTTAAATAATATTTGACCTAGAAGCTAGAAATATTCATTATTTTGTGGTATTACTTATGGTCTATGTTATTTAAGAAAAAAATAAAAAGAGTATAATTCTGAGTTTACATTTGTTATTAGCATACCTAAACCTAACTATACAATACTACATGTATAAAAAAAAATTGTAATGGAAAATATTTACTATTTTGTGTTATATAAATATGGTTACTGGGTAGGTACCTACTTTATTATTTTCAAATTTATAAAATGTATTTAAAAATCAGTATAGCTTTTGAGTCGTAGTGACTGATGGAGAATGTTAAAATATGTATAGGTAGGTGGTAATCACTAGGTACCTACCTCGTGTCTACAACTTACAAGAATAAACAATTTTAAAGTTCAAAATGACAAAGTATCATAGTTTAAAAAATGGTACTTTGTATTATCGTAGTACATTTACTAAGGTACCTATCTAGGTAGACCTAGATACAGCTATATGTATAGAGCTACATACAGGTACCGTCAGGGCCGGATTGGTATGTATCGGCCCATCGCGATTTTCACTTCTATAAGTGGCCCATTTACATATTGAGTGGCCCAAATTTACGTCTATAATTAATACGAGCTTATAGGTGGCCAGTCGTATTTTAAACATAAATTTATTTTCACTCACACTCACACGACCAGCCCAAACTTTAAGCGGCCCACCGAGATTTTCCGCATAACCAATCCGGCCCTGGGTACCTTAGTACATAGGTACCTAAGTACCTACCAATGATACACATAAGGTACACACTTTTCACCAAATATTATATGGGTAAATACTAAATATAATAGTTGGCATGCACAGTCGCACACATCACAGATATGTTAGCCCAAAAATCAATAATAATACCTGCGGGGGACGGAGTGGCCGAGCGGATCAAGGAGTCGGTTGCGACGCACACCGGCGCCGGTTCGATGCCGGCCGCGGATGGCATTTTTCTTCGGGCAAGTCACGGGTGTCCGGAGAGAAGTGCCGCCATCTCCCACCCGGGCATGGCAGAAACCTACAGGTTCCCACTAAAAAATCTGCCAAACCCAAAAATCACGTGTTTGAAAAAAAAATTACAGTACCCTCCCCACACTAAAAACCGCCCAATGGCCTAAGTTGCAGCGGGTTAATTAATAAAAAAAAAATAATAGGTACCTACATTATTACACAGTTTTGTATTACCTACTATGGTACTTATACTTATCACATATATGTGGGTAAGTACCTATACATGTACAATCGGGACTTCGGGTTAAATACTTCACAGTTCAGGAATTAAAATCGACAAATTATTCGATTTAGTCGTAAAAAACGATACCTAATGTTAATTGACACACTCACTCATATTTTGCATGGTAAATTAGATTAAAGATTTAACTAATCAGTGGCGTCCGCAGGGGAGGGGGCTAAAGGGCTGAAGCCCCCCCCCCCATTGCCCGTATTATTGTTACTTTAAAAAAAAAATATTAATCAAGTTAAACTGTCAACTATAGTAAGCAAGAAGTCAATTTCATATATGTCTTACCAGAATGAATTCATTTTTGAAAGAACATTGTAATTGCATACCAATTTTCATACATTATCTGTAATTTTTAGGTAAAAGTATGAACTACTTGTATGAAAGACCTTGTATTAAATTGTCTAGCCTTAGCTATATATATTTTATATTTTATAAGTTTTGAACTACAAATTAACTGTCATTTTGACGAAATTTGAACTTTAAATGCTTATAAAAAATAACCATGGTGCCTATGTAGTGTTTGAAGTATGAAATATTTCACAAAAACGTGACACATTGAAATTTTTTTACACAAATAAAAACACAATTTATTTATTTTTTTAACACAATGTTCAGTGTTCTAAATTCTAATGACAGAATTCAGTATTTATAATACAATATGCATGTATAATATTGTATACCTACTTGTATCATTTAAACATTAAAATATTTAAAAATGTTGAATACCATTTTAAATGTATAATACCAAAGGTTAGGTATACATACAGTTAAGAAGGTAATTTATGACAATTATTTGTAAGTATAAAACTTATTTAAAAATAAAACAAAATATATCAAAATACTGAAATATTTCATTTTTTTAAATTTCATGAAATTTTTTCACACTATGCCTATGTATCATTAATATTTTAGCTATAAAAAAATAACTTACGTATTACATTTTTAAGATTTTTGACCGGATAAATAATTTTTTATTGACATTTGTAGAAAAAAAAAATTAATTATTCAAATACAATCCAAGTGAAGACGGTATAACCAAACATTTAAATAAATTTTCATTTTTTTTTCTCCAATTATTTTTAAAAGCACTGAGCATTTTCAATTTCGACCTCCTAAAAGTACAAACTAGATCCAATTTGCTTCCAAAAACATACACTGGGCATCGAAGCTTATGATCAGAGCATTTTTTCTACCAGAAAAGTTGAAAAGTTACAAACATTTTAAAATACCTCAAATAAACGTCAGAAATTATTAGACTGGACAAAATAAAAATGTAACTAATTTTCAAGCCCCCCCCATTGAAAAATCCTGCGGACGCCACTGTAACTAATAATTATTTAGACATTTCAAATTTCAAACTTCACTTGAAAAGAATTAATAAATTAATTTACGTACTCGAACTTTGTTGCCAACTTACTGCACTCTTTATGTCTGATACCATAGTATCTTTATCTTAAACCGGGACTGATACCTACAACTATTGATATCACTTGATAACACAATACTACCGATAACCGAATAATAATAAATATTATGTTCTTGACTCTCGAGTGTTTGAGAAATAAGTAAGTAATAATAAAAATACATAATTCAAATGCTTCACTGGCATTTACGCTTAAGAATTAAATTCATGTATCCAAGATGGAAATCGATGATGAAGATGTTATCGTAGACGTAAGTACTTGAATAATAGAATATCTCAAACTATTTACATGTAACTCATTTAGATAACTAAATTGTAGGCTTTCTAGAGTAAATAGGTTTAAAATTATCCCACACAGTTGGAAGGGAGTGGAGGTCAGCGAAATTTATAAGTGATGGGGAGGGAAAGAGTGGGAAAGTGCCTTTAGGCTGAAAACACCTAAACGCGACACTGCATGTAAATTATAAGGTCCAATATCTTGGTGATTTTTTTTTCACACCAGTTTTGCCTTGGGAATTTCTAGTTTATGTTTGATCAATATTTATATTTCAGGGCACTGATTTGCAAAAGTATTTGAACGCTGTTGGATACTCTGAATTTGAAGTTTCTAAACGAAAACCTGTTGAAAAGCTTTGTCCAACTGAAGTAAGTTTGAAACTTCAATGTTAAAAAGTACACTATACCCTAGACAACTATAGCTTTTGAATTATTTTATTTACTGATAAAGATATTATTTCCTTTGACTAGGTAGTTCATAATTACTTAAAAGAAAACCCAGTGCCTAACTGTTAACAATTACTTAGAGATTTGTTTTTAAACAGGTACTAAAATGTTCAAGGAAAATAACGAGCCCAAACCAAAATCAAAAGGTATGTAATCATTATTAAAATTGGGTAGAAATCTAAAAGTGTCAAAACCAAATTCAATATCTTACCGTAAAAGAAGAAATAAATTCAAGACTTCTGGACAAGTTTCTGTAAACCCGTTCAATTATTTTACTCTAAATTTGCTAAAATAAAATTTTAACTCATTTTAGGACTTTGGATTGTGTGTAACATTAATCAAGATAATCATGGAGAGTCAACTTATTTTCAAAGAAGATACTTTATTTATTAAGGAATTTATTCCATCAAAACACTTTAAAAATTCTCCATTTCTTACAAAAAGGAAAAGGTAAAAATATTAGAATAAATCTCAATATGTTTTTAATTGTTAATTATTATCTAGGTATGTCTTAAAATATTAACTTAATTGATTTTTTTTTTTTTTATTATTTATTTTAACCATAATATAAACATAAAATTATAGTGAATGATAGCATTTTTGGTTTTAATGTGTATAATCTTGAAATAAATTCATTATGTTATCATAATAACGACATCAGACCTAATAACCTAATATTTTTGTTAGTATTTTTTATCATCCATCACATTTTAGACAACATTTATGTTACGTGAATAATCCATTAAGAGGAATCTACAACGGCATTTGTTGTCTTACAAATTTACAACATGGCAAATTTTAAGTTCACAATAACACATTTTACTCTATAAAATTAGAGTGAATTCACCTCTCATAAAATTTAAAAGTAAGAATATTATCTAGGGCATCTCAGAGGACTTTATTGATATTATTATTTTAATTAGTTTTAAAATTTACAAAATTGTAGGGGTTTAAAAATGGTCATAACTTGCTTCTTAATAAAAATATCAATAAAAGCTTCCGAGATGCTCTGGAGATCTTCCCTTTAAATTTTATGAGAAATTACAGAATAAAATGTGTTATTATGAAAGTAAAATTTTCCATGTTGTATGTTTGTTAGAAGGAGATCTTAATTATATTTTTAATAATGTTTAACAAGTTATATTTTTCAGTATTACTCTACTTATACGTGTGTATTCTGGGTCTTATGAATATGTTTTTTTCAAAATTCTTGGGATGAATGGACAATCGTAGGCATGTTCATTTTTTGGTTTGGTTGTGTGTTTATGGATGTATTGTATAACCTAAACCAAAATAGAACGATAAAAAATACTACAATGAAAACTATTCAATCCATGGAAAAATGATCTCTGGCTGATACAAAGTCTACTCATTTTGTGCAAGAATGTAGCAATCTTCATAATAGGTAATAACTTCATTCAATTTAATTAAATTTATAATTATAGGTATTATAGAACAATTGTTAACTTTATAAAACTGAAACATACCATATTAGTTATTGATTTACCTTCTATGTTGTGGTCATCATAATAACAGTAAAAGTATAATAATATAAAGGCCGGTTTCACACTTATGGAATATCCACAACAAAAACTAACCTGTAAATTCCACTGATATCAAAACATGTTGTTTTAAATACATGTCCATATACTAAAGCTGTTATTCCAGGTGACAAAAATTTTCGGACATTGAAGTATCTCCCCGGAGTCCTTTTCTGTCTGTCTTTTAAGATATGTCATTATTTATTATTTTTTATCCAATAATCTTAGCTTATTGTTCTAATTAAAACACAGATGGTATAAAAAATAGAATTTGAGAAAAACATTTGAAAATAGGTTAATAGATTTTAGCTATTATTTACTCCTTTTTTCACCAATAAACGCATAGGTACTTACTCTTTCTCAGAAATAAAATAATGCATACTTCACTTTTTTTTAACTTAAAAAATGTCATAAAAGGTACAAAAAACACTTCTAAAATCATATACTATGTAAAAAAAATTGTATTTATTTATGAATTTTAATAATCTTCAGAATAAGAAAAATTAAAAAAGCATCATCTTTTTTGACCTTCCAAGAATAAAACTGTTTTTCTAACTGCTTTTTTGATTTCCTTAAAAAAAGAGTCTATGCCAAAATAGTGAAAATAATGACAGCAAAATACAAATAGCAGTCTTATTTTTATTTAATAACAAATGAGGAGGTAAATGTGTAAATGACTTCATAATTATTAAATTAAATTTTTTTTAACTATAATGGAGGGATTTTCTAACTTAAAAATTGTATTGGCTAATATTTGCTACTTTTTCATATATATAGGTTTAGTGCAATTAAGGTCCATTACTGGTATGTGGGTGTTCATAGTGGTATTCTTATATTAAATTATTCAATCAATGTAATTTTTCACAGCGTTTATACTTATTTCTAAAAGGTTATTATTAAACAGATTAAATATTCGTTAATAAATAGGGAAGTAAAAAAGGACTCTAAAGACAAATCTCAAATAATTTTGAAGATCCGAAGTCCCGTCACATTTTCACTCAGACCTACACAACTGCAATTGTCCCTCTTCACTTTATTTTTGTTTTTATTCACACCGGTCTATGCTGCAATACTCTTAGTGAACTGTTTCTTATTTTTCCTAAAGAATTTGGCACACGTCATATTAATGTATATAATTTTCTTTTTCATTTATCCACTGAATATGATATTTATTTTGGATTTATTTATTACTTTTGAGTTTTGCTATTTTAGTTTTCATTATTTTTACTTTATTATTACTCATAGTATTTTGGATAAATAACCCTAAAAACTAAACATATATTTTCTATGATCAAAATACCATACACAAATTTATTTGGTTTATTTGTTTGAATATATACTATGATTTATTTTTTATTTTAGTTGTTTTCACACATATGATGGTAAAAATCCTAATGCCTTCAAATACTTGTTAATGCCAGAATTAAGAACTTTGCTTATAACTGTGTTACAAGAATTGATCAATAATCTTGTATATAATGTATCTGAAGTTCACACATTTTTCCCTCTAAAAGATCTGTTTTCCAACATTGTTTATTTGTATAAAACAGACTGCAAAATTGATTTAAAAAACACTTCTTTTGAAAATATAAATGTAAGTATAGCTTGAAATAATGCATATTTGAATGTTAAAAATATATACAGTTTAAATAATATACAAGTGTAACACAAAGAAACTGACAAAAAAAAAAAAAAATTGATGCTACTTAAACGTATGACAAAAATTGTTAAAATGTATATGATAAGTAAATAGTTTTAAGATTATACCCATGTTAACAAATTTCGAAAAATAATCTTTTTTAAAAAAGTTTTTGCGTTGCAAATCAATATAATCAAAAAAATATTGATATTTAAAAAATTTAAAAAATAACTACTCGACTTAAATAAATTTTTTACCATCCGAATCATCATATAATCAGATTCCAAAATTGGCTATTTTGAATTTATTCAAAAAAATTTAAGTCAAATTTTAAATTTTTTATTTTCAGTAATAAAAAATGAAAATAATTGTTTTTTTACACGTATAGTGAGTATAAATAAAATATATAGAGAAAAAATGTAAAAATAATGATTAGAACAAAAGTCAGTTCTTTCTGTTACACCCTGTATAAAACACAAAATTAAGACTTGTTTAAAATTGAGGTAAGCACTTTAATAGTTATTCCAATAAAAATTATGTTTCAGATCCTAATCTTGTTTTAAATCTTTTGATATTTATAAAATATATTATACTCATACATGGTAATTTATTATATTATGTTTCAGAAAGCCAAGTACACTTATTTTTTATTACAATCAGAATTCTTGAAACAGTCAGCTCTGTGTTTATGTCCAGCATTATGGACTCCTCACAGTTTTTTTCATTTGAACCGTCTAATTGAAACTATTAGTAAAATTGAAGAAATTTATTCTAACTTATATAGTGTTTTATATGATGAGTATAATGTTTATTCTATGTTCAAAAATAATACTATAGAACATACTAAACAACCAGTCCAGTGTACAAACATAAATTCTGATTTGAAACTGAAGATATATAGTATTCGACAGTTCTTACAAAACATGATGGTGCATGTTCGGTTCATGGAAGACTCATTTGAAAACTCTTCAGCGTGCAATATTGATGATATAAATAGTACATTGAATGGTTTATTAAAAGATGTCAGTGTTCTTAATGAACTTATTTCAACTTTACAAATTAACATTCTAAAAAAAAATAATAATCAAAGAGATAAATCTATATTAACTAATGATTCTATTGGAGTAACTGACCATATAGATATAGAAACCAATGAACCAATCAAAGAAATCTGTGAAGATGAATTATTTTTTGGTGTATCTGAAGAACCTACTGAAAATATGGAAAATATATTTTGTAATGAAGTAATATTTGATAAGTCTAACAATCATAATTTAATGTTAGAATTGAAAGTGGCGCTTAAAGATAAACAAGCAGAATGGAAACAACGAGAATGCAAGTTGTTAGAAAAACATCCACAGTTAAATGACTTATCTGATGATGATGAAAGTAATGAGACACAACAAGTCCGGTACATAAATAAAGTGCGTAAAGTAGCATTAGACTTGCCCCCCAATGAAAGCTTTTCCATGCAATTTCCTGATAAAAGCTTTGCTAGTGAAATAGCCATGGTTGCTTGTAAACGGAATACAGCAATTGAGTGTTTTGGAGATGATTCTGATTCGACTACATCAATAGACTCAAATGATTCTTAAGTAAAAAAATTATATTAAATATTGATTCTTAAATTATTGTTTCTATTACCAACATCACTTTTTCAGATTACTCTGTTCAAACTCATTCATCCTCAGATTGTTTGAACATTATTATGCTTTCAGTTTTTGGGATACAATGTAATTGTATTGTTCCAATCAAACGTTTATATGCAACATTATCTTAGCTTACAAAAACAATGTTTTAATTTCATTAAAGGTATCTTAATCATATGTTTCTACTGTTTTCCACCTATACAATTTATCAGTTCTACAAAATGTATTGTATACCTCAGGAACTCTTTAAAGGTCTTCCTTTTAATGTGCTCTAAAACCATTGCAAGCTATATTTAAGCAACAGTTTACATTAAACACTAATTATTTCAGAGGTATTCAATATTAATAATAGCACTGGAATAATATCATTATTATTATGTATTTAATAGGTTTCAAATAAAACTTCATTTAGTTCTGTGAATAAAAAAAAATGTAAAAACACTTTCCCAAAGGACTAAGTTCTGGAATACGCATTCCTAACCATAATGTATCATTTTTTTCAGATTCAAATAGCCAGGTGACTAGTTGCAGCTGATTTAAAGAATAATGTGACATTACAATATACAGGTGTACTTCCAAAGATTTTTTCTTCAACAATTGTATAAAAAAATATAAATAAGGTGATCAATGCCAAATCTATCATACAAAGAAATTGTATGTGATATTAAGAATAAAGATACAAAACATTCAGATATGATTTAAGTATATAAATGAGCCTATAATTAAATTTCAATTTTACACAATTCAATTTATTGTTTTATATTAGAATTAAGATAGGTTCAGATATGAACCATAAGTTGATAATATTATAAAATTCAATACATCTGTAATTATATTATTATATATATATTTCATTATTATTAAACCTGGTCAAAATGATGAGTTAATGATCATGTATTCTTTTTTTCAATAAAATAATAGAAATAATAAAAATATATATATATTGAATTTGCACACTAATGACAATAAATATCAATCCACCCTGTATTGGGAGCACAATAACAATACAAATATAAAACAAAAATATACTAGATAACTTTGAAATTAATCAATATAATATATACAGTAAACTTAATAATGTAAAATGTATAAATTTTGAATTTCAATTTATTTAAAATTAAAATAAACAATAGAAACGGCAGAGTAATCAATAATAATAAATTATAGTTATCTTAACTAATAAAAAATAAATACGGTTTGCGGTATATGTATTATATATATAGGTGTGTCATCAATATGACAGAAAAATGATCACCTTTTTGTAGTCAAATGATTTGGAGCATCAGCAAATGTAAACTTCAATCTATAGGCTTCAGCTACTAATAAGCTGATATCAGTATCTGTCCAATTTTGTGTTTGCAAATTTTGTAACATTATCAAGAGACCCTAAAAGAAATATTTTGATTAATAACGCAGAATAAAGCAATTATTTAACATTCTATTACCTGGAAATCTTTTTTTTCTAGTAATTCTTGTCGCCAATGCAACAAAAATGCAGCACATACGTAAAGCTGAAAAGTAGCGAAACAATCAGACTCTGCAAGGTATGTATCCCATAACCTTATTGAACACCTCAGTGGTAATTCTCTAGTTAGTAAATTGTTCATCCATCTAAATGAAAATTGTAAGTAGTCGATTCCGTGTTTCATTAAATGTCCGTGAAGTGTGCCTAAATAAATATTGAGTAGTAATTTATCTCATTAAAACAAATAAAATATCACTTACCATCAATTCTTTGAATTAGTTCTTTTAGCTGATTAACTTTATACTGAATTCCAAGCTGGGCAAAAATATAATTGTCTTGAATACCATCCAAGAACTTTGACAGACACCAAAATGAATCAGCTTCTAGAGAGTCTCGGTTCTTTTTTGATATTGAGCTAACATCAAGTGTTTCAATATTTGTACCTTAAAATATTAGTTGTTAATTATTAATTGTTTTTTATAAATTTAAGTCAAACATTTATTGATAATAATATTAATATACTAGTACCTATAGGAAGATATTCTTGCAAAAAGATAACATAAAAAGGTGTAACTAAATCATTCATTCCTTGAACATAACCAGATGCAGGATGTCTGATTGCCCAGATGAATAAGATTCTTTCAAACATTTCTTGCACAGTTGTTTGTTGGAAAAGAGGAGTACTCATACGTGGAATATCAATATGAATCTATAGATAATAAAAATACATAACCATAAACATACGATTAATTAAAAATGTTAAATGTTTTCTAGATACAAACCTGTCTATAAGTATCTTTGTAAGCTTCATCTTTATCTGTATCATAATATTGTTTGACAAGATTTGCATAATCAATACGCTTTCGATCAAGAGCTTCTTGTCTACGTTCAGTGCTAGTTGGTAAATAACCCTATGAAATAAAATAATAAATCAGGGATGTAATTTGAGTGATGTAAAGATGGACATCCTCTTTACATTTTACAGCGATAGTTCACGAGTAGTACCGTGATGATTTTTTTAGTTAAATTTCCCTTATATACCAATTTCTCAAATATTGTAAGTACTATAATTACAAAATACAAAATGTATTAATCTATTTTGTGCTATAATAATATTAATCATCAAAATTGTATTATTCTAAACGGTTTTAAATTAAAATTAAATATAAATAATTTTTTTTAAAAAGTTTGTTTGCTATTATTGTATTTTTACATTATATCAGGATCGTCAAAATCTTATCACTTGTAAAATAACTGATTTTATATATTATATATAATATTATAATCTATCCAGCAAGAAAAAGTGCTTTAGCCCAACAAATTTCAGTTAATTCTCGCATTTCTCTATGCAACATATGTTCTACCATGGCAGTGTGTCACGTGGGTTAATAAGTGTTGATCAAAATGTATTTGACAATATATTTTATATATAATACAATATCACTAGATATTTATTTTCAAGGCATTTTAAAGTAACTTACTGCTAATAGTCTCCATGTCATAGGACGTACTTCTACAGGCACTCCAGACCAACTAAGTTTCTTCAAATCTTCTAAATTTAATAAGTTACTTTCAAGCAACACTTGGAATTTTGTTAGTTTGTTTGTATCAACTTCAGAATCTTAAATAACAAAAATAATATGATACTCATTAAATAATTTAAATGCAATTTATAAATAATTTCAAGACTTACTGGGAAAGTTCACTTTATTCTCTGTGTGTCGAGATTCTTTATAAGTTTGTGAACTAGATTCTCCTTGTGCTACAAAAGAAAAAGATATATATATATACATATATTTATTATAATTATACCTAGACTATTTTATAAAATAATATAATTAAAATAATAAATTATGTATTTGACAACAAATTCAGAATATAAATTGTAAAATTAAAGATAATCCATAATAATATCATATTCATCAACATGTATAATTTACTTAAATAATTTTTCTAAAAAGACTAATTTTAGTAACTAGTTTGATATGTAACTACAATTAAATTTATATTGACACACAATTTCAAAAAATTATACCAATTTCAATAAGTGTAAGTAATCACTTTAAGCCAACCAAGCTAAAAAAAACCAACCTCGTTATGCTTATTGCACAACAATTGTTTGGACTGTATACTGTATAAATTTAATTTAAAAAAGGTTATAATATAGTTTGTTTATACCTGAATGATAATCAATTAAATTATAACCACAAGTTTTTTTTTTAAATAGTCTGCTTATACCTAATATATCATTATTTAATTTTATATCTAAATTTTAGAATATGTCAAATATTATTTTAATCTATACTACAGGAATTAATTCCATGATGCCATCTGTTACATAGTAAATGAACAATAAGCATAGTTTAATAATAAAAAAAATAACAAAAGTTATATGAAATTACAGAATAAAGAGACCTTCCTGAGAAAGGCTTCCGTAATGAAACAATTATATTACATACATTATTTACACATATACAATTATAAAATATAGATGTTTGAATCTGGTGTATACTCTTGAAATATAATCAATGATAAATATTTTATTTTATAAGGAAAAACATTAAAATCAAGATTTAATTATTAATTATAATTTATAAATAATAAACTTATAAAGTAGTCACTCAATAATTCAAAATTCAGGGGACCGAGTTGAAAATTTGATTTACCGAGTGTTCGAATAATCGAGAGAAAACAAATTAATTTGAATTAAAGAGAGATTAAAAATTGTATGTATATATTACATTTATTTTTAGGTTTATTTTGGTAAAATATTATGATTAGAGTTTAGATTAGGTGGGTAAGGTACGATAACATTTATAAGCTACGATAATATTTAACCACTGTCATTATTAGTTTCATTAAAAGTACTTTAAATAGATTGTACATGCATATGAACTTACATATAATCGCATTTAAGGAAATTCAAATTATAGAGGTTCGTGGAAAAAAATTTGAATTGTGGACTGTATTCCACCGACAGACATTTTGAATTATTAAGCAGACCAGAATACATGTATTTTCTTCTAATTATAGAGGTTTTCAAAGGGTACTCAGTGTTTAGTTCGATTTAAGGTTTTTCGAATTATCAAGTGACTACTATATTTCTAAAGAAGATATTTTAAATGTTTGGAACATACAATTTTAGCTAACCTTATACTCCCCATCAGTGAAAGTAGAGACTAGACAAACTAATAGAAATGGTTTACTCAATATTTCCTTAAAAAAGGGAAGATAAAAAATGTTACTTTTAATTTAGAAACATTAATGTTTAACTTAAGGTTGACAATAATGTTTATTTGAGATGATATTTGCTAAAATGCACAAATGAAATAAAATATATAGATAACTTTCTTATATATTATAATTTTGATCTTATAATACTTTTTTACAAACAATTGTAATACTATTAGTTCCTACAACAAAATTTTCAATGTGTTTAAGTGTTAGATGCATAGTAGTATAGCTATAAGGTACAATCTGTGTAAATAAATAACCATGGTACATCACATTATGTTTTACTGGCAATAAATACTTAATAATAATAATAATAACCATGATAATATACAAGCTATTAACTATTCAAAAACAAATAGTGAATCAATTCTTTGTGTTATTGATTAAAAAGAACATTGACAAATCACAATGACAATTGACGCAAATACAACAAACAACACAATTTGACAGGAAATGATAAACATTAAGCCATATTTACAAATACAATTAAGATGAAATTCCTAAAACAATAAGACTTACGATCAGAGTTTGAGTAGTTTTTTGATTTATGAATTTCCTCAATCGAAGCCTTATGATTATTAATTACATTGACAGCAGCAGAATGGGCCACACGCTTTGAAATTTTCACTTCTGAAATTCAATGGGTTGAATACACAAAATAAAACTAATGGGTGAAGTAATAAACATTACTATTGGAAAACATAATAAGCAAGCAAAAAAATATGTATATAGTATTTTTAACTACAATTGTATGAATAGTTTCAGTATCAAGAGATACTAAATTTATTTTTATTGTCTGGAAAATTTTAATGTAATTTATGAATAACATGTAACTAATAGATTAAAAAAAATATATATTTATGGAAATGATTTGAAAGAAAAAGATAACCTATTAACTACAAATAAAATAGAATCATTTTGAGAAAATTGTTTGTATTGATATGTAGGTATATTAGAAAATGCATGCTAAGTTGGGGTACATGTATTCCAATTTAGGACAATGCATTAGAACTATCTGCATTAAAAACTTAAGTATTTGTGTTTTTATTAAATCTATCCATCATTAGTTCAACAATAGTACCTATAATTGTCTAAAAATAAAATTAGTTCTTTTAAATTATTTATAAAACCATAAGCAATAAATAAAAAATAAAATATCTATTTGTAATAATTTTAATATTAAGGGCGTCGGAGCCGGAGCATTTTTTAGTACAAAAATATGTCTTACAGAAAAAACTCTCATACTCTGATTTTGTTATTTTTTTAAGAACATTTGGCAGGTCGGATCAAAGGCGGGTTTTCAAATTTATAATTACAGAAGCTAAATATGCATTTGAATGATATTTTTCTACTAGTATTTAAAGTAAAATCAAAATTCGGCCTTTAATCCAACCTGAAAAATGTTCTCTACTTTTAAATAAAAAAAAATTAACGAAATCTGACTATTTTGTGAAGTAATTTTCATTGATAATATACACTGTATCAACCCTCCCCCTCATCTTAAATAGGTATTGGGCTGTAGATTAGTAAAAAAGTATTATAATAAATTAAGGTAGTAACTAAAATATAAAGTAGAATTTTCAAATTATAATAAGAATTTCATAAAATTGAAATAATCTGGCACCAACACCCTTAACTTTTTAGTTATTTGTATAGGGTCATGTCAAGACTAAGTTTTATTATTGAAAATAGATTATTTTTTTTCAATATTATAATATATTTTTTATACTTTGAAAAGAGTTTTTACATAACTTTTAAATTATTTCTGTTATTTTATTATTTTTCAATTATGTATCCATATAAAATAAATATTTTGTTTATATATTTCAAAGGGGGCCCGATTACTATGTTTTTTTCTCACAAAGACCAATTATCTGTTTAACTATTCTATCAGTGAGGCTGGCCAGTGTTCTTCTTTATAAGTAAAATATATATAAACTGAATGTAGAAATGACTATATTTTAAGATTAATGAAATTGCAAATCATATTAAATATAAACTAATTCATCACCGTGTCCCAAAAATTTAATCATTTTACACATAAATTACATTCACATAGTATGTCAAATATTCATGATACAAACAGTATACTAATTAAAGAAATAAATTATTATATTTAAGCTTTAATTTAAACTGAAAACCATAATGAAAATAATAATTAAAAAAAAACAATAAAAGTAAATAATCAAATAAATATTAACCAGTTAATGTACCTAAAATATTTTTTTTTTAAGTTATAATTAAAATTAAAACAAACATTGCATTTAAAAATGTTGATAGTGGATCGTTTTTTCGTACATTTAGATTTTAGACCAATAAGAGGAAGAAAAATTCACCCAGTACCAAATGCCCGATTTTAATTTTGAAAACATATTTGAATTCCTTATTCTCTTTTCTAGGTACCATACAAAAAATCGAAAATCCATCTCTTACGTAACCTACAAAATAGAATAAGGAATTCAAATGTTTTCAAAATCAAAATTGGGCATTTGGTACTGGGTTAATTTTTCTTCCGCATTTTGGGACTTTAATATTGAAACTTTTTATAACAAAATTTAGTGAGTTGTGACCGTAGTTTATCTTTAATTACATAAAGTGTTTAAGATCACACGCCCACTAATGATCAGTCACTACACACACAGTCACACTTAACTCACAATGGATCTTGCGATGGATATAGAATATTGGCTAAATCTGACCCTTTAAAAATGGTTCGCTTTCAACAGTCTTAATGTTACAAATGATAATATTATATTACTTATATTATGTTTATGATTGAATTTAAATAGAAATAGTAAATATAGGCATTACAGTTATATTAGTAAATAAATGACTCAATGGTTTTCATGGAAAACCATTCTAAGAGGGGTAAAATTACTCCAGTAACAGCGCTGTATTGCCTGGCCTCCAAGCAACCAGACAGATGAATGATGAGATCATGTTCCATAACAATAATTATGATGTTATATGGACATAAAGATTTTAGAGAAATTTTGTTTTTCAATAACAAACCGATAAGGTTAATATGCTACTGAAAAATGTATGTTAGGTTTTTTTTTTGTCAAGAGTTAGCTGTACACATAAGCAGTATTTAAATTAAATGTAGTTAAAATACTGATACAAACTATTTTATTTTGTATTTTAAATTTGAAATATATTTTTAAAGCATTTTAGTATTTTGAAAATATATAAAATGCAAAAATAATCCACGGCCCATGCGAGGCGGAATCACAACTGTATACTATAAGTAAACGATGCTGCATGGGAGCCAAGTAGTGTGATAAACGTGCAACTCCCATGTAGTGGTTCAAATCCAAAAAATGATGACGAAAACTTTACAAACTTCTAATAAGTTTTGTAAGGTTTTTTTGTTTTCACTTGAAGTAAACAGCTTTTTTCCAACTAGTTAAACAACTTATATAAACATAAATAATTATAAAACCAATGTATATGTATTATGGAAAATATTGGTAGATTTGAAAATACATCTACAAAAACAGAAAAATACCTAGAACTACATATTATAATGTTATACCAATCACCAACAAGTAAACCAGTTTCTAAAAGAATCGACACAGAATCTCAAAATTAATCAGAATTAATAGTGTTTAAATAAAAAATAAAAGTTATTTTTTATTTTTTAAAACTTGCCTAAAATCTATCAATTATTAATATATTTTAGATTCTGAGTAGAACGATGAATGTATTAATTTTACAATCATGTGTGTTTTTTATTTTTTTGTGTCTGTCACCACTCACCACTGTTTGGGGAAGTAAAACTGCTTTGATTTTCTTCAACAGTATCTTGTTCGATGGGAAAGTGAATCTAGTTCGTGCATTCAGGAGGTCAAATTTTAAAATTCCCAATAGTTTTCACTAGTGCGGGAAAAACAACATAAAAATTAAGGAAAAACGGGAATTTTTACGCAAAATAGTTTTTTTTTTAGTCTTTTCTATACAAAAACTTTAAAAAAATGTTGATTTGTTTTGAGCTGTTTACGGGCATTATCAGTTTTCAATTTTTTTATTTTTTTTTTTTCTATGGATATCAATAAAGTTTTCTGTGTTGGGTCAAAAAGTGTAAAAAATTAATACAATTACTACATTTATATGATGGCGTTAAAACGGTTTTAAGACTAAACCGTTTTAACGCCATCATATAAACGTAGTAAATGCCCCTGATATATTGTTACAATATAAGTTGAAAAATATTAAAAATACATGGGTACAATTTTTTTTATAAGCATTTAAAGATCGAATTTTGACAAAATTTATCAAATTTAAAATTGAATAATTATTTTTTAGTTAAAATGTTCAACTTTTATATCTAAGGATTGAAAATGTAAAACAAGATTCTACGTAAGTAATTGATTCTGTTACCAAAAAATCTAAAAAATACATAAGCACAGTTTATTTTTATAGTCATTTTAAGTTCAAATTTAGACAAAATTACATAATAAAAAACCTAAAGTACCTAATGGATATTGTGATATGATTAATTTGGAATTTATTATAGGTACCTATTACGAGTATAGGGCAATATTTTTTAAAATACCATAGATATGTATAATATTTTACCTAATATGTCTTAAACCTAGACTGACTGACCGTCTCCGCTCAGAATCGTTTTTCTTATACCATGATATTATATCATTGAATTCAAATTTAATACCATCCATTATACAGTGACCCACTTGTAACCTACTGTACAGCAGAGCACCTTTTTAATTTTCAAAGCCTGGTTATGCATATTATAGTATAATATGTGACATACATATTATCATAATAATAATGTATAACATATTCCTATTAATGTCTATTATATTTTATGTTAAATATATAAATGTAGATATCGCGGAATCTTATGTATAACTACGGTAAATGGACATTTCCCACCCGGCTGTTTTTGGTATAGTAGGAAATTTTCCCCCAGATACATATTTTCATCAATTATTTTTTAAGTTTACTATTTAATAATATAATATTATTTATTATTGAATATGAAAGTATTATTTTTTGTATATTATCTATTATTGTCTAAATACAGAATTATTAATTATATTTTATAATTTATTTAGACTATCTTTCAACTAGGTACCTATTATATTATATTTTTAAGTATCATTTTTATGTAGGAAATTTTAGCTATTTTTATTAATTATTAATTATATTTCATCTAGACAAACTTTTAGCTACCTATATTATCTTTATTTAAAATTAGAAATTTTTACTTATTTTATTTATTTCAATGTTTTTTTACCTAAATCAGTACTAGTACCTATAATTTGTACTATTATATTTTATTTAGACAATCTTTTATTTAAAATTCTATTTTTACTAAACTTGTTTTAAATATTATTTTTTTACTGTATTATTTTAACAGCAGTTTTTATGTTTCATGTAGTTCAGTTAATCAAAAATATACATCTATAATTTATTATATTTATGAAAATATTTAGAAATTTATTCTGTATTTAGAAAATAAGCAAAAAAAAATAATGTCTGCGATTCATTAACACCGTCTGTCATTACTACAAATACTGGCAAGGTTACACCATCGACTTGTTCTACTCAGTTTATAGTGTATAGAATTCTCATCTGAAAATTGTCTGTAATGCCAGTATTTGTTGTTTTATAATATTATATTAATATTTTAAAATAAACCTTTTTTTTTTTTTTAATTCTTTTTACACATACTTTTTATAAGTTAACACGTTGGTGGGTAGTACTACCATAGCAGTAACTTCAAAAATTGATGTCGGGGGACACTTTTAAATATTACTGCTATACCTAGCACTATTATAAAAACCTTCCAAAAATTGTCATCACTGCTATAGTAGTGATATTTTCAATAGTGTCTTATGAGGGGATAGATTATTGTTTCCCCCGACATCTCAGTGGACAATTTTGCACTGCCCTATAAGATAAAACCCTACAGCAGTACAAAAATTGACGTTTTAAAGATTGTTTGTTTTTCCACTGCTGTTACGAAAATGTCCATCAACGTGTTAATACTTAGTTATTCTAAAAACATATATTAATTGTCATTGAGTAATTTTATTAAAAAAATATAGTGAGTTTTAATTTATTTATTTATTTTTGGGATTGAGAAGCTAAACTAATTTAGATTATTAACATAGATTCTTTAAGGGGAATTCAAATTTATTTTCTATTGTACAACTTTATTAGTTATTGCTTATTACATATTAGATAAAATATAAATATTATTATAAATTTTAAGTTTTAAGTTATTTTTTAAAATATAAAAATGTATACATATTATTATATTTGTGTGTCCATCATTGTCAAAAGGTTATCACATAGGTATTATCATATAATTCATCATGGAAATAAATAATATCAATTTTAAAAGTACAATATACATAATATAAATTAACAGACATTAACTTACTAATACATACAATTCTAATGACCATGCACAAATACTCTTATATTTGACTACTTAATATGAATAGGTTTAGTCTATAGGTACTCAATATATGGTAGCCATTATTAAACAAATAGTTTGTAAGGCAGTTTGAGAACTAAAAAAAAAATTTAAGAAAATGTGTGCTAAGAATTACTTATTAATAACTATATTGTTTACTAACATAAAATAAAATGAGTGTATTATTAATACTAAATATTTTAAGATTGATCCTAGTAAAAAATGTAATTGTAGCATAGTGGTAACATTTTTTTTTATGTTTCAGCAACAGCCCAATAACAACAACCAGTACGGGCTTGTCCACAAGACCACAACTACTTTTAATAGTATAGTTATTAATCATATAAATTCATAAATGTAAAATATCATTTGATTGGAAGTTATACTTTACAAATAATTTAGTATAGAAAATTATTATAATTAACAGAAGAATTTATTTTTCTCTGTTATTTTTTAATATTAGAGTAAATTGACTAGTTATGAAATTTAAAGGTGAGAATATTATCTAGGAGACTTCATAGGTTGTATTTTAATTTTGAAGCTAGTTATGAGCATTTTAAAATTGTCCATTTTCCATGTTAAGATAGATAAAATCTCGGATAAAATGCAAGCGGGTATAACCTTCTCTTGAGTTTATACACAATATATTATTGACTTTTATAATAAATATCATATTATTAATACTAAACATTTTATTTTAGGTATAGTTTTTTAAAACTATCTAAATATATAACAATTTTTAATCTAAACTAATTTTTTCGACTCCTCAGTGCTGTTATATTTTAAATTATAACACTAGTTGCCCTGAGTTAAAACTAATGAAGATAGATAAATTTTCAAAACCTAATATTTTTCTACAGTACCACACATACTTTTTTTGTTCAATTATATCATTGTTCAAACGCTATATTTAATTAAGTACATCATTATAGAAAAATACATTATACGGGATCAGAAAAAAAACAATTGTTTTTCATGCACAATGTACATAATATAATAAATCAGCCATGAATTATAATTTTGAAAATCAATAGAAGAGTAGGTAAACATCAACTAGTCGGTTAAGAAAAAAATGTATTTATTAATAATTAAACATGAAAATTACATAAAAATATGAATAGAGTAAAAACCATGTTATATACTATTTAATGTTCAAAACTTATTTATGTGGACCACAATTAACAGAGTACCTAATAAATAATCACTATTCAGGTTCAAATAAAAAATAAATTATTTGTTATAGTCAATAACCAAATGTCTATTACCAAATTACATTTTTGTATGTACTATAAAAATTATAAAATCTAACAATAAACAACTAGTGTTCAAAATATTAAATAGATTTATGAAACACAGACAAATAAATTTGAAAGATTTTCATAATTATGTTGGTCCCAAAAATAAAGTATATAAGAAAGATTTAAGTTAAAATTAAGTCATAGTTTTATAATTTTATTTTTATTCTATAATATTTATTTTATGTTTTTATGTTAAACATTTTACTTGAAATGTATTAATAATTATAATATTCCTTAATAAATCAAAAAATTTAAGTATATAGATTTTTTTGCAGGGTGAGCATAAAAAAAATATTAAGAAACTTGTTTGTGACCCCATACTAACATAACCTCATATAAAATACACAAAACAAACTAACTACTGTCGAAATACAAAGTTATGTTTAAATTTTATTATAATCATTTATCATATTTTATAGTTAATAATTTAAGAACAATAATAGGAGAAAAAAAAATTAGGTACTGTTTGTTACTATCTTTAAGGCAGGAACAACAACTGAAGTCAATTCCATTTTTGAAGAAACTTTCCATGCATTGTACTTTAATACCTATGTATTAAAATGTTTTCCATTTGCACTATTGTCAAAATTAATTTATTTATTATGTATAGGCAAAAGTATATACTATTTAGATTTTTATGAGTCTAAGACAGTCTTGAAGACAGTACAATATTTCAGTTTTAAATCATAGATTCTTTACCTGACATTCGTAGTATTTCATCCTCAGCTTCAATTTCCCATGCATCACTGACACTTTCTTGGAAATCATCAAACGAAGTCGAAGCTGAAGAAGATACAGATTTGCTTTCTTTCTTAGGACTTGCTCTGTAATTCAAATTATGCTTATTTATAAATGTTTATTGCAAACAATTTTTTTTTTGATAATATCATATTATACATAGACGGTACCTAAGTTGAATAGAACACATTACCTTCCAGGAAGATTTCTAATGTTTTTTTTCCAAAACGAATTCTTAAGGTTCATGTCATTGTCGTTGACATATTTTTGTACGTGATCGCCCATTTTGCCAATATCTAAACACATCACATAAAAATGTTAAGAACAGTCTTTGGAGTATATCGAAAAAAGAGTCTCATAGATAGATATGTATAGGTAATAAATAATGAACATTGTGCATTTTTGTGTTACAACCACATTCCAAACGGACCGCACCGGGCGTACAGCAGTAGCCGAGAGCAGGTACAGTAGGTACCGCAGTGCTAAACCTCTGGGGCTTGGTAGTTGTCAATCGAGAGCCTGTGGTCTTAGTTGCTTACTACACACCTTAAGGTCGGTACACAGAACATATTATGAAATCTAGATTTCTTTCACCTATTCTGTTGTTTGTACGTACAGTGTCGTACCAACAACACAAGCTCGACTCACCTAACTCTAACATTGCTCGATTCACGGGCACCAAGACGGACGGACGCGACAAGCACGGATGTGGAACTCTGTTCGTGGTGGGCTCATGTTTCAGTCGTTCTCAAAAGCAGCGAAGGCATTCGATGGCAATGTGTGCAGTGCAAGAATACGCGATATATCACGAGGGCCGAGCGTATAACGATTAACGGCGTGCGATCGTGCCGTTTACGCGAACGGTGAATAAAACGTACACGGACAGGAGCAACGTTCACGTTATCGTTGGCAACGGGGTTAGTGTGACTTGTGAGTAATGAGTTGTGACTTGCGAGCGAGTAACGGTACACTGGCCGTGGGCACTGGGCACGTATCGTCGTCGTAGTCGCCCCGTCGCCGAGAGTGATACGCCGCCGTGACGTCACTATCTCGACGGAACGCCGCGCCGCACACGCTATCATCCGACACGAAAATACATAATGTAGTCGGAGCGATGGGAAGGTCGCATCGTCGCATCATTCGGGCGCCTTGGCCCGCCGGCTGCCGCGGTACTGCTCGACCTCAGATCATAATATTATACTAGTATAATAATATGCATACTTGTATAATATGATCTAAGGGGTCGACGGCCTGGTCCTCGGCTCATACGTGACGTCACTTTTCCGCGCCGACCGCCTAACTCACTGCATAAGTACCAGCCGAGACCTTTTTTATTCGCTTTTTCGAAGCACAAGTTAAAGTCGTTATTGCGTAATGGTTTTGACTATCGGCGAAATTTATATTTTATTATTTAAAAATAATAAACTTTTGGACTGACGATGGAGATTTTCTACTTGTTGCCACTGTATGTCTGTATAATAATCGAGACGTTAATTTGTTTTTGTGCTTGCTTAAGTTTTTACAACACTCGATTTCACACGGGACGATTATCTCATTTTGTAGTAATTCAAAAACCAATAACTGTAGGTAGGTACTTGAAATTTACACCAAATGTTAATTTTATCGTTTTATATATTTGAAAACATTTTCAAACTGGACATTTTACATTTTAGATGTTTTTATTTTTTTTTCCATAAATGTCAATATAAAAATTATTCGTTGGGTCAATAAGTTTGAAAATTTAAACAAGACTCCTCACACATTGTTATAAATTATAACATCAGTTTCAAAATATTAAAAATACATGGGTAAGATTTTTTTATAAGCATTTAAAGTTAAAATTGATCAAATTTAAAATTTACAAATTATTTTGTAGATAAAATTTATAAAATGTTCAATTTATATAGGTAAGGAATAAGGATGAAAAATTTGAAACAAAGTTCCACATAAGTAGTTACCTAATTCTGTAACCAAAAAATCTAAAAAAATATACAAGCCGTTTTTTTTATAGTTATTTTAAATTCAAATTCACAAAATTACATATAGGTAAAACCATGAATAACGGATTTTAGTTGTTTTGTTGTAATTTAAAAATATTATTCATGTGTACCTACCTACTTGAAATGTTTGGAGTAGGTTGTATGTAATATGTATATTATTATATTTTATACACATCACATGGACATTTTCAAATGGAAATTATTTTGACAACAATTTATATAACCTACTATTAAACCTAATAGTAAAATAAATTACTTTTAATTACCTACAATAATATTATAAAGGACACATACTAGTTGCGGACGAATTATTCAGGTTAGGAATTATAATATAACAATTGCGGACACGAGTTTCGTTGTCATAATACTAATTGCGTACAGAGCTTTTTTTAATAAAAACTACGTTAGTTGTGGACACAAATATTTCCCTTCACCACTTTTTCAGGACTTATGACAATAGCTAAAAAAAAATTGGTAGGTGGGGTTAAAAATTGTGTCTTGCAAAAGAGCAATCGTTATTTTTAAAATTTTGTTGAATTATAGATTGTTTTAATTTTGTGGAAAAAATTGTTTATAAAATATTTATAGATTATCGTCATTATCAATTATTGTCATAGTTTTTAAAACAGTCTGTATATATGATATTCTATTGATTTCACCACGTGAATATTGTAACATTATCCGCAATTAGTATCTTATATTTGTGTCCGCAATTCGTATGTTACCTTTTTAGATTTCGTCCGCAACTCACATGGTTTTTGTCACTTTGTCCGCAATTCGGAAACACCGATTATAAAATATACCTATTTTCAATATTATAGGTTGATATAGACTGCTCGACTGTCTTTGCTGATTGCTTAGAGTCGTTTTTCTATAGGTACAATAAGTTTATATCATTGAATTTAAATTTAACACATCTATAATGATTAATGACACTCTAAAAAAATAATACTTACAGCAGAGCCATATCGGAACAACATAAAAATTAAGAAAAAACGAGAATTTTACGCAATATTAGTTTTTGAGAAAATCGATTTTGGTTTTTGGCATAACTCTTTGGCATAAACAAATGACTGTAGATACATGACATTTTCACTAGTTGTTTATATTAGCACTTTCTATACACGATCAAATATTTTGATTTGTTTTGAACTGTTTACGGACATTTTCAGTTTCAAATTTTTTTAGTTTTTTTTTTTTCTATGAATATCAATAAAATATTATTTGTTAAAAAGCTTGATATATATTGTTACAATGACATTTGAAAAATATTAAAAATTCATGGTCACAATTGTTTAATAATATAAGCATTTTAAGTACAAATTTTGACAAAAGGCGCAAAAATCAAATTCCTAAAAAATGTTCTTTTTAAATCTCGATAAGATTTTAAAATTTAATACAAGATTCCCTTAAAAGGTTATCTACCTTTATCAAAAAAAGAATGTCTATAAGAAAGTCAAATAATTAAATTTATAAGAGCGTTTGATGTTCATACGTGCATGAACTTGACCCACCCACTTTCTATGACTTGGCAAATAAGTTAGCAAATCATTATTGAGGAAGTTATAATTATTTTTTATTTGGGTGGGCCAAGTTCAGGTAACACACCCACTTTGTCCGATCGTCTCCAAACAAACATCGGTAGTTAGCAAATCTCTTTTTGAAGTTTGCAAAAAAAATTCTATTTTTGGCCGATTTAAAAAAATAAATCAAATTCAATATACAAATTTAGAATTTATTATTTCCAATTATATTTTCACTAATTATATATTCATTTTTTTATCATATATATTTTTTTATTAACTAACAGTTGACTATATTATTATTTGTATGATTTGTCATTATTTCTTAATTTATATTTTTAATATTTTTAAATAATTTTAATAACGTTGATTACCTATAAGTTTATTATATTATTATGTTTTTAGTATTATAATTATGGCTGGGATTTTGATGCAAAGGCATCTTTTTTCTGATGTTTTGAAACGTTGATCCATAAGTATAAAATGTGGTTTGGGTGATACTGATTATTTTAAAGTATTTTAGATTTTGAGTGGAACAATGAATGTATTGATTTTACAATGATGTGTGTTTTTATATTTTTTTTTTTATTTTTGTGTCTGTGTACACGATAAGTAGTCGAAATAATGCTTCGATTTTCAACTTCAGTATCTTGTTCGATTGCGGAAAGTGAATATCATTGGTGCATTGAGGAGGTCAAAATTTAAAATTCCCAATAATTTTCACAAGCGCCGGGAAAAACAACATAAAAATTAAGGAAAAACGGGAATTTTTACGCAAAATCGGTTTTCCAAAAAATCGATTCTGGTTTTTGGTGTAACTTTAAAACAAATGACCGTAGATACATGAAATTTTCACTGGTTGTTTATATTTGCATTTTATATACACGATAATATTTTCAAACTATTTTGATTTATTTTGAACTGTTTAGGGACATTTTCATTTTCCATTTCTTTTTAGTAATTTTTCTAAAAATATCAATAAAAATTTATTTGTTAGTTAATAAAGCTTGAAAATGTAATTGAAGGTTCCTAGTATATTGTTTCAAAGGTAGATGAAAAAAATCAAAAATCCTTGGTCACGTTTTTTTTTATAAGCATTTAAAGTTCAAAAATTGACAAAATATGGAAAAATCCCGAAAATTAGCAAATTATTTTGAATTAAGAATTCGTGAAAATTTTTCTTTTTAAATCTAAGATTTGAAAATATAATACAAGATTACTCATAAGTTTGTCTACCTTTATCAATAAAAAATTCTCTACCGGAAAGTCAAAATAAATTTTTATGAGCGTTTCAAATTAAAATTTTTACAACATTGGATATTCACTGGATTTTTCATGTATAGCGATCTCCTTATTTTGTTGTAATTCAAAAACAAATAACTGTAGACAGGGCCGGACTGGGAGGGTATCGGCCTACTATTCTAGGTAAGCAGGCGGCCCACAATGTATTATTTCAGGAATTTTTAAATGTGTCTGTCTCACAAAATTGATATTTGGTAGGATTTAAAGAGGTTAGAGGGGGGCACTATCTTATAACCTTTATATTCAACAATCATGATTAGTTATGTGATATTATCCAATATCCATAATCCATGTCCCATGATATTATATAAAATAAATTTACTTTGTACTTTAAGGTATACATTTTAAAATAATACACAAAAAATTAGTGGAGTTTATTAATAATGCAAAACTATTTTTTGTGAATTTATTTATTTTATTTAGAATTATTAACTAAAAATATCTTTTTTAAAGGTTTATAACAAATATTAAACGTACCTACACTATCATCATCAACTGAGTGTGAATTATTTGTAGGTAATACATTTTGTTGTGCATTTATGACCTATGCAAAATGTTTAAAATATGCAACTAACAAATAACAAAAAATGCTGAACATTTTAATAATTATTTAAAAAACTTACATTCAATAATTTTGTACTACTACTTTCATTCTGTAAATCCAAATCAATACTTGCTACACTATCATCATCAACTGAGTGTGAATTATTTGTAGGTAATACATTTTGTTGTGCATTAATGACCTATGTAAAAATTTAAAAATATAAAACAAACCAATATGATCTTATTTACAGTAATCTGCAATTTTGAAACATTCAGTTTTGACTAACTAATAACTATTGTCTATAGATTGATAATTTCTTAGGTAATATTTGTACCTTTACTGGTTTTGATTGATTTGTTGCAAATATATTTGATATTTTTTGGCATGATTTTGCAGCAATTTTTAATTGTAACTCATTTTTTAGCCTTTTTTTTCTGTTCCACCCTTGAATACTTTCTTAGCAACATTTTTCTTTAAACAAGGTTCCATACTGAATAAAATGTATGATTATTGTATCAGAGACTCACAGTTATAATAATTTACAAAAACAAAATACAAATAAAATTGTATAAACTAAAAAAATTGTAAATAAACAGTAAACAAAAATGTAATAAACTGATAAATCAATGAGTTAATTTGAACAGTGAACAGTCAGTAGACGTCCATATGACATAACGATAACGTGTTATCACAATTTTACATTATCATATTATTATGCACTTTTTTCTCGCGCACGCCATTAGAAAACTCGGACAACATATTATTATT